GTGGCAATAATATATATTATAATTATGTTATATAAATAAATAAAAATGCCACGTAGATTAATATTTATATTTTAATTAAAAACAAATAAAATTACCTTATTACCCTCGCCCTCCCAATCCCTCTTCTTCCCCTTCTTTCTTTCTCTTTCTTTCTTTCCTACCCTGGGTTGATAAAAATAGACTAGGTTCGACAGAACCCAGTAGCTGGGTTTGTCGAAAGCCAACATTGCTGGGTTCATCGAAACCTAACCTTGTTGGGTTCGTCGGGGTTCGTCGGAACCCAGCAAGGCTGGGTTTCGACGATCTTGCTGGGTTTCAACGAACCCAGCCTTGTTGGTCCCATGAACCAGCCTTGCTGGTTTTGTCGAAGGCTGGGTTCGTCGAAACCCAAATCGGCTGGGTTCCTTCGATTTCCATTCCTAGTTGTTAATAAATTTGGGAGTTGATTTACAATGGAATTTGATTAGAGTTTGATTGTATTTTTGTTGGAGTTTGATTAGAGTTTAATTGATATTATTTATATTATTTATTGAAGGGTTAATTTGATTTGATAAGATCTATTAGGTTTGAGGTTTCAATGAAACCCAATAGTTGGGTTCAATGACAAAGAATTTCAAATTTTGCAGAGAGTGAAGATGAGAGTATTGGTGGTTTGTAGGCAATGTAGGAAAGAAAGAAAGAGAAAGAAAAAAGGGGAAGAAGTAGAAGATGACATGTCATAAAAAAAAAGTCCAGATTAGCACCTTTTTAAGTTGTCCTTGCCATGTCATCAAAAAAAATATAAAAAATACCATGTGGCCGAGTTAACGGCTCAAATTAACAGAAGGACTAACGGAGTGCATTTCATATAGTTAAGGGATTAAAAAGGTGCAAAAAATTGTTAAGGGACAAAAAATGTGTAACTCACTAAAGTTGAGGGACCAAATTTAGCATTTAACCAATTTTAAAAGCCTATTTCGTTAATGACAGATTTTATTGAAAATTTTGTTGAAAAAATATTAGATGAAAAGTAAAAAATTATAGATTAATATTAATCAATCAAAATTTTTAATTTTTTTTTATAAAAAAACTACAAAACTATGTGAATTTAATAAAATATATTTGGTTAAACTCCAAATTTGGTCCCTGAAGTATTATACAGACTCACAATTTGGTCCCTAAACTAAAAAAATCTCTAATTTAATCCTTAAACTATTGTGTAGACCCTGATTTGGTCTCTACTGTTTACTGATTTAACTTCAAATTGGTCCTTCCGTATAAAAAATAATTGACGTGTCCATTATTTAACAGTGAAAAACAATAACGGCCATGTATTACATTAATAATGAAATATGTAAACTTTTTTTTGTATTGAAGAATCGACTTAGAACAAATTGATAAATAGTATGGATCAAATTGAAAGTCCATATAATAATTCAAGGATCAAATCAAAGATTTTTTTAATTCAAGAACTAAATCAAGGGCTAGTGCAATAATTCAAGGACCAAATAAAGGATTTAACCAATATATTTTTACTAGCCGAAATACTCTTGATAACCAAATTCTTGGTGTTCTCATCCAGGATTGCAGGCACCTTCTCAATTAGATGTCTGTACGTAAAATCCAACATGCTTGGCGAGAAGGAAACAAGGCGGCGGATTCTATTATGGCATTATTGCATTAGGATGTCTTGTAGTTTTGGTATTTTGGACATGAAATAGCAATTTTGCAAATTGCCCTACCTGTACTTCTCATTTTTTTCCTTTAATTAAATATTATAAAATGTACAATCTGCGACCAGGCAAGCCGTAGACGCGCTGATAGTTAAAGTGGAAGCCCCCAAAATCCCACAGCCTCAGCCTGTTAAATCAAGTCCACATGCAAGGCCCGGTAAGAACTTTTCTATTTTGTAAAATGGCCCTGTAAAAACTTACAATACAAATTGCAAGATTTGATCAGCAAATTGAAAACTTGGGCGTGTAGCAGGCTCATGAAACTGACCAAGCCCATTATTTTACTCTAAACTTAAAATATCTAATCTGATTATCTGTGTAGTAGTCCAAGTGTAAAATTGAGACTTAAGAGTACTTAGATATTTCAACTTATAATAGCTAACTATTAAAATCATTTATACAAACAACTCTAATTAAAGTTACCAAACTACTCTAATTTAGTTTATCATAAGGTGCAACCCTGACCCTAGGGCTAGGGTTTGAAACCCCTTCCCCAAAAAATTGTAATATGTTCAAAAAAAAAAAAAAAACTACTCTAATTTAGTATTCTCTACTTCCTAAGCAATTTAAGGATAATTTCTTCTCTAATTAGGGCTAAGAAATTTTAAATTCAAATTAGAGTTATAGGCAAGCGGATGAGATGGAGATGAATAAAAGAATGTAAGAAAGTTGCCTCCCTACAATTCAAAATAAGAAAAAAAAAAAAGTTCCAGACAAAAAATTATAACAAGAAACATTAAGCAACTATGGAATAGTTATTTGAAGTATTTAGAATTCTTATGGAATTATTATTTTGGGTAGTTTATGTAGTTTTGTTAGGACTATAATAAACAAAGAGTGTTATTTAAGTCAACAAACCTAAATAATTTTGTAGTAATTTTTTTTGCTAGAAGTAAGAAATCCTAAACTTAAGTCGCATGATAAGTGAGTGAGGTAAAGTAAAAGATGAAAAATAGTTGCATCTCATTGTGAAATCAAAATTTTTTAAAAAAAAGTGTTATTTAAAAGTCACAATCTAAAATAAAAGGAATTTATTTTTTAGTAATTCACGAGTTATGTTTTTTGCTAAGCTATTATACACTAACTAAAACAGTTTGATTTGAGAGGGTAAGAACTTAACATTCAAGCCGTGAGCTGCAACAAAGTTCTTACAATATTCAAGTTATTCAAGCCACTAATTGAAGTCCAAAAAATATACAAACATGAACAAATAGAAATAGTAGTGTGAGTTAGGATCAATTTAGAAATAACCTTTATACATAACACTTATATAAAATTTTAGATATATATCTTTTTATTATGAATGATTGATATTTATTTATCTTTTATTATATTTTTTAACGTTAATTATTTTTTGTCTAAAAAATCATGGTTAATTTAAGCTATTTGTAGTGAAAAATTAATAACTATGGTTTTGTATAAGCATTATATGTTAGATCATAACTTTGGTACTACTTTTAGTTCCAATGGGTTAAAAAAAATAAAAAAATAAAAATTAGTTTACACTTACTTTAACAAATTTGTTGACACTCATCTCGATTTAGTTATTAAAATATAATATAAGTACAACTGATTCAGTCAATTTTTGTATCATGATTATATCTTTAAGTTTGTTTATATTTAATTGGTTAAACCCCCTTTTTTAGTCCCTTAACTATTGTACAGACCCTCGATTTGGTTCATTAACTGAAAAAGCCTTGATTTGATCCATACTGTTTATCAGTTTGGCCTAACTTAGTCTTTCCGTTAAAAATCCACCGTTAACTCATAGGATTTAATAACATGTCAAAATTTTGAGACATGTTAGACATACAAATGGAAAAAATGATGACATGGTAACATGACATGTTATATTCTTACCCAGCAGCAAAAAAAGTGGGACCCACCAAAATTACAATTTTGCAATCATCGTCTTCCTCCAACCTTTTCTTTCTCAAATCTTCTTTATTCACTCTTCTTTTTCTCTCTCTTTGCCTCCTTTGAATCCATTGTCATCACCATTCTTCATCAATCAATTCATCATCATCATCATCAAACAATAAAACCCACAAAAAACAGAAAATCTTATTGATTTTTTGCACAAAACAAAAAATTTGTTGGGTTCAAACCCAAGCGTGCTTCGAATCTAGTGGCCGCTAAGTTCCATGGAACCTAGGCGTGTTGGGTTCGAAAGAACCCAGTGGCCTTTGGGTTCCAATTGTTGGAACCATGGCGTGCTAGGTTTAAGCCCAACGATTGTTGGGTTCCAGCCATTGGAACCCAAGACCGCAAAGGGAAAAAGAAAGAAAGAAAGAAAATTTAAGGTTTCTTTTGCCATATCAATATTTTTTTTGTTATATCAATTATTATTATCCACATCAACCATGTTATCTTTTCATGTGTATTTAATATTTTGACATGTCATCATATTTCCATGAATTAACAGGACATGTCACATGATTTTTAATGAAAGGACTAAATTGAGATCAAATTGGTAAACAATAAGAACTAAATTAAGGATTTTTTTAGTTTAAAAACCAAATCAGAGATCCATATAATAGTTGAGGGACCAAAAAAGAGATTTAACCTATTTAATTTCATACTAAAAAATAATAAAATTTTAATTAATAGGTTGTGGAATATATTGAA